ATATTGTGTTACTTATGTTTGATACTTACAGATGGGGTTGAGGTCAAAAGCTTCTGATAGAAAAAAGGGAGCAAACTCAGTTTGAACAGAAAAAAATGTCTGGTTATGTTTTGACCTCTTGATCTGGCAGTGGAGTACACTGTATTGTTAACCTGAATGAATGTTAGTCATTTCAGGACGTAATCACAACAGGTTCTCCCATAAATCAAACCTCTTCCCATGCTTCTCTTCAACAAAAACATCTTATTTGAATGACAGTTTTTAATTACAAGATCAAGTCCTGCTTACATAGAGTTTCCATTTCAAAGAAGCACTCCACTGATATGAAAAGTCTCTAGGAAAAAACATCTTTGTCATTGGATAATGCATGGACCTTGACTAGCCTACAGATTTCCTACAGAAAAATATAATGGCATAGCATTTAACGTACCAGGCTCTTGCCAAATTAATTTATTACTGATTCACTACACCTCAATTTCTGTAAGCTTGTCTCCTTTACAGAAGTAGAATTTATATGAAAAAGATTTCTCAACCTGGAGGAGAAATCAGAGAAGAGGAAGAGAGCAGATGGCAGGGATTTCCTGGGATCCCACTGGAAGCCTTGGGAACGGTGCCTCTTGTCAGCCTCAGGCTGCCCGGGGCTCGGTTTGCTAAGCTGCAGATGGGATTTAGGCTGAAGGCCCTCTCTTCAAGGCGAGGAAAAGCCAGGGCAAGAGCTGCTGCTGCACGTGGCGGCGGGGAGGCTCTGTGGGATGAAGGGCTGCAGGAGCCAGCGGGCACGCGCGGCACCGGGCAGAGGCCAGAGCCTCTCCTGCCACCCTCGCCCTCTGCCCGGGAGGGGAGCAGGGTGGCTGCCCGTGGCTAAAACGGGAACGCAAGCGCCTGCCGGGAGGAGTCACCGTGTGGGTTCTCAAACAAATGAGGAAAAGGCAATGAGAGCAGCAGCAGCAGCGCAGGAAGGGAAAAAAAAAGCCTCTGAAAACCGCTGGATTATAATTTTATGGTAGTATTATTTGATGGCCTGACTTAACAAGTCTTTCCAACTCCAGTTCCAAAGATTGTATGGATACTTCCCTATCTCACCCAGGTGTTTGAAGTTTAATTAATTAATGTTTGTAAAGAGCGTTACAATTTCCAGATGAAAGGTCCTATGCAAGTGCAACGTAGTATTACTCACCGAGGTGATTGGGTTAGAGAGTATCACATTACACAATACAGCTCTTCCCTCAGTGATTTTAAGCGTTTGAAGTTCTGATAAAAAGTATTTATCACTAAGATAGATATAATGGAAATACGCTTAAGGTGTGACCTGGATTATGAAACCAGAGGTATGGTTTTGGGAACGGAACAAACGAGAATTTAAAACAACTCCTGAGGCCAGATTTGTCTACAGTTGTATAAAATGTATTCTGTTCTTCCTTTTTTCCTCTCTTCCAGTAGGCTTTTCTTCTCTCTAAAATAGAACCGGTTATTACGAAGGGTGTGAGCAGACCTGCAACAGTTCACGTTCAGTTCTTATTTCCATACTCATCCAACTTGACATTTTCTCATGACTTCCTCAAAATTATTTTTTGGTCGATGTTTTTTTTTTTTTTTTTTTTTTAATGTTCGAATTAACCCTAAAGGTGAACATCATATTTTTGTAAACTTCTAGCCTAACAAGCAATTAAATTGAATTAAATCAAAAGTTTGTGGACAACATCAAACTGGGGAATGCAGTCAATACATGGAACGCAAGGCCGACATCCAAAAGGATCTAGGCACACTGAAGTTACAGGCCAACAGGAGCCTCAAAAAATTTAACAGACACGCATGTGAAATGCTGCATCCAGGACAGACCAACCCCCTGCACCAGAACCAGCTGGGGAGTTACTGTCTGGGGAGCAGTTCTGCTGAAAAGGAGCTGGGGTTTGGGGGGCAGTTGGCTAAATGGGAATCAAACTGTGCACCACGACAGCGAGGGGAAGAGCATCTTAAGATGGGTAAGAGCATCTTGGGCTGTATCAAGAGGAGGTATAGCCAGATCAAGGGAGGTAATTTAGCGAGTGCTCATCAGACCAGCTCGGCAATACTGTGGCCATTTTTGGCTCCACCTCAGTGCAAGAAGCACAAGAGAAAACAGGATGGAGTCCAGCACAGACCTACCAGAGTGGGCTGGGTACCTGCTCCTTGAGGAGAGACTGAGGGAGCAGGGCAGAATCACACTGAAGAGAAGACTTTACAGCAGCCTTCCTGTGATTGCATTGAGGCAGGTTGTCCAGAGAGGCCAGGGAATCAACAACCTTGGGGGTTCTGAGATCCAAAAAGATAAAGTCCTGAATCTGAAATTAGTTTCAGGCCAAACCTGGTCTGAAGTTAGTGTTGATCACCCTTTGAGCAGGTGTTTGGACTACAAACCTCCTGAGGGCCCTACCAGACATAATGATTCTATGGAAATAAAAAAGCAGCAAGCAAACCACCGAAAAAAAAAAAAAAACCACACTCTAGCTTACGTTCAGACTATGTGACTTGTTCAAGATCAAGGTTTGGTTTTCTGTGATTGAGCAATTTTGATCAAAATTTACTTGAAGAACAACTTTATTGTCTGTCAGAAGAAACTGCCCAACTGTTCCAGTTGTCAGGTTGCGTATTTGCTCCTCCTCTGCCATTTTCTATCAAGCTTACCCTGGTAGCAAACAGTTGGGATTTGGGATAGCTTGTATACACAGGCATTATTGCACTTAGAGGTCTCAGCTGAAAGAAAAACAAATCCCCAAATTTTAAGAACAGTGGGTAAAGGAGTAACTACACTTCATCTAGTGCATTTTCATTCCTTTTTTTTTTAAAAAAAAAAAACTGCATCAATTTAAAATTGAATATTTTTAACATACCGCATATTTTTGAGATCAAATTTTAAAACAGAAAGCCTTCTTTAGCCATGTTTTCTCAAATTTCCTAATATTGAGTAAATAATTAAACTTCAATGAATGTTGTTTTATTGTTAATGGCATTCATTTAATTGTTAGTTGTTCCAGAGGGACATTCTTGTTCGTTGGATTTTTAACGCACACTTTCATTATTCCTTCAAAATTCTGTTCTATCCCCTCTAGGAAGTGCATATTTCCAATTTGTATGGAAACAGAACCAATTACTCTGAATAAGGATGTCAAGAAAACAGATTTCTTAATGGGTCAAGTGTGTCAGTTTCCCTCTTTTCTCTGTGTTATTCTTCTTGTCCTCCTCTGTCCCAAAAAATTACAGAAGTCCTAAGATCAAAATGAAGCAATATTAAAAGCACAAAAAATGTTTTCAAAATTACTGAAGACTGTAGACCCTAAGGCACCACTTTTTGCAAATCTGCTCCTTCATACATTCTAAAGAGGTCATTAAATCATACTAAAAGGACTGTATTAGACAATGCATGAAAATAAATGGCCTTTTAGGAAAGCAGAACTCTTAGTAGGGCCTAAGCTGAAACAACAAAGTTAAAAATAGTATGCTGACTCTAAAAATACAACAAAAGAGCTATACCATTGGTAATAAAGCACGGAGCAGTTTGGGAAGAAAGATGGTTTCCTAGTTGCATGCTTTGTTCAAATGTTTTTTAAGGGGAAAAAAAAGTACACAGAAACATTTACTTGTCATTACAACTGTATGATATTAAAGGTAAACTAAGAAAACATCTTAATGGAAAGAGCATTCTGTGCATAACACGTTAATGGTAGTTAATGAACCCAAACCCACAGAAATCCCTTTGGACGGCTAACAAACACACACAGCTATTAATTAGGTCACAGTTGTTTCCTCACAACTCTTTTGTTCACTTTAGTTGTAGAAAACCAACATATCCATCACACTTGTGGGGAGGTATTCAACAGGGAAGAAAATATTTATTTATTACACCTTAAATGCTTGCAATTACATGACTTATTATGACAGTTCTGCTAGTTTCTCTCCTTGCAAGTACTATAACCACTCACTTCACAATTTACTCTATGCATCAGAACACTATTCACTTCCATTTCATTCTTTTTTTTGTTGTTGTTGATTTTCAGGGTTTTCATCTTCAGCTCAATAAAGAGATTGGAGGGGGGGTTGTTTTTTCTTTCTAAGGTCAGCACTGTGAGGGGAAAAGTAATTTCTGCTTGAAGTTTAGCCAAGTTCTGAATGTCCACTTCAACCACCATGTCAGTTATTTGCTAACTGGCTGTGACGCAAACGTGTCTAAAGAGCTCCTCTCCTCCTTTCCTACTGCAGAAAATTGCCAAACTGTGGGCTGCACATCATTCTGAGGATGTAGCCCAGCCAGGTTTCCTGAGAGCCTAGGGAAGACCATGCTCTATATGAAAATAATGAGAAAGGATTGCTCATTTTCTGTGCATGTGCAGGGCCAGCAGGATAGTAAGGAGGGTGCTTTGAAGGCAGAGACCATCCCTGCTCTATAGCAAACAAAGCTGACGAGGCAACGCTTCATCTTTTCTGTCTGAATCTTGCTTTAGAAAGCTGCCTGTGTCCACTAATTCATCAGCCTAGTTCTACTTCTCCCACCACCTCCCTTGCCCAAGGCAGCTCCTGCCTCCTCACCACTGTGTCTCCTGCCCCACAACCGCCACCACTTCCTTCTTGCACATCCCACACCACTAACTACCGTCACTGCTCCCCCAGCCCACCGAGACTGAATTAATGAAGCTGCTGAATCCAGCTGACTCTGTCTACCTGGGCGTGCGTCTCCTCGGGCTCTGGGCACTGCCAGAGCTCATTTGCTCGGGTCTGCTGCTCTACCTCACCTGTAATGGGTTCGTGCCTCGCAGGCTGGAAACTGCAGGGCCAAACAACGCAAGAAGTCTTTTCAGGTCACTACTACAGTTTCGTGAGTTGTCAGTCCCTGCAGGTTAACTAGGATAAGTCTAAGGGACAGCTATGTTTCTAATCACTTCTGGATCAAAACTAAGAAGAAAAAAAATAAATAAAATTCATCTTATTGAGGGACCAAAAAGAATTGAATCAGTTGCCAGGCTTACCATAATCTTGTCGCTGTCGATAATGGTGTTGAGGCGGTGCGCGATGGTCAGCACCGTGCACTGAGCAAACTTCTCTCGGATCGTCTTCTGAATGAACTCATCTGTTCTGCAACACACAAAGAGCAGGGGCGACAAAAATGAGACGCCTGCATGGAAAGCTGAGCGGCAGGCAGGACCTAGGACTTAGCACACATGAGCGTACAGCAGGAACTATACAGTCGGGAAGGGATTACAGTGCTGCTTCCTCTTACTACATTAGGTGACCTGAAGGCATATCGTGACCCATACTCCAAAAGCTCCGTACTCCAAAGACTGAAGATAAAATAATTCCTTCTTGGAAGCATAACAATTGGTTTCACTCTCACAGACTAATTTTCTAGGCATTGATTACAGAAAGAAAAACACTCCTATTAGCAGTTATATTCAGATATTCCTACAAATTTCCACACTAAAAAAGTCACTGTTATTTTAAGCTCTAGCTTGTGCAAGCAGTGAAGGAAAACTGGTAAAAGCAAATACTCTTCAGTGCAAATGGGCATAACAGTGAACACAAGAGTGCCTACAACTAAGGTTCTTGACTTCAGCTGTGTAAAGAAATAAAGCAAACTAGCTGGTAAATAAATCGGTTCAAACTGATCTTTAAAATCTTGAAAATTTGAATTTTCAACAGAAAATTTTAAACATAAATAGAAAATTTGGTATATCACTAAATCGAAAGGGTTACCTGTAACTCATCTGCCAAGGAAAGGGATAAATCCTTTCTTGTTAAGGATCTCAACCTCCTGCATGAATAAGCACCAAGGAATTCATATCAGGAGGAAATAAAAGGCTTGAGAGAAATAAAAACCAAGTTAGGACAGAGATACTGAAGTACTGGGTTGAAGTGAAAACTACAACCTATTGAGAACAACTGTAAGAAAGAAAACAAAGTTATACTGAAACAAAACAACAAAAACCCAAAGAGGCTAAAATGCTCTTGAGCTGTAGACACGAGCATTAAGGCAAAAGAGCTGCTATACCGATAAAACTGGACATTATTTAGTGAAAACTACAACCTATTGAGAACAACCGTAAAAAACAAAATAAAGTTATACTGAAACAAAACAAAACAAAAACCCAATGAGTCTAAAATGCTCTCGAGCTGTAGACATGAATATTAAGGCAAAAGAGCTGCTATAAAACTGGAAATTATTTCAGAAACTAATTGCAGCTAAGTACTGACACCACCTAACTTGAAGAACTGCAGTGAGGCATAAATTCAGGAATCTATACGGTCCTCCCTATAGTGAAGGCAGGGGAAAGGCATGGCTGGCAAGCGCGACCGAGCACCTGAACCAGGCGGCCACCGGGGGCCGAATGCCCTCTAGAGGCACCGGCCGTGCGGCACCGCATGGAAACCTCACCTCCCAGCCCGGGCACGGGGCCAGGCTGGCTGCATGTGCAGGTATCCTGGATCCACTTTCAAAAATAGGTTTAATTAAAAAAAAAAAAAGTGTAAGAATTAAAAATCTCATCCAAAGGAGAAGGAAGAGCCAAAGCACTCAAGATACAATGGGTTTAGTGGGACCAACGAAGCAGCAGCCTAGAAATCCGCACTTGAAGGCAAGGCTGTCACATCCAGGATTTATATTAAAACAGTTTATAGAATGAACGTTTATAGAATGACTGCGTAACAATAAGTGCTGTACCTAGAGTTAACATAAGACAAAGAATATATAATTATATAAATTGGTATATTCAGACAGCTATACTACTCTGCACCAGGTGCATGCAACACTTTACCTGTTCCTCCAGTTGTTAATGCAGATGGAAAATTAAATAAAATACAACAAACATGCCACATCAACAAATGTATTCCTCAGACAAATTACTTTTTAGGTAGAAGTACTCTATAGTGAATCTGTCTGGACATGCATAGACATTTGGTATCACGTCAAAAACTAAGAGAAGAAAATTGTGCTGATGGTGTCAAGTTAGGAGGCACTAACAAAAGAGATGACAAACTTTGGAGTAATAAGATGACTTAAGACAAATGGTGTAACAGAATGGCTTTCCGTAACAGGAAGCATTACTTCATGCTCTGGAAGACTGAACACAATTTTCATGGCAAAGTAAGGTTGAGCATTCAGCATGACAGAGGAACAGCTCTCTACAACAGAGATGACTTTAGACTGACAACAGGACAAATCACCACAGAGAAGGTGGACACAGCCTAAACTCTGCCCAAATCCTTTTTTGGGTAAACTGTATAAATCTGAGCCTCTGAGTATTGCCTGCTGCCACTTCTCCACTAACCACAAACTCCCATCTCCATTTTGGGACAGGAAAGTTTCTCAGCAAGTGAACATCGCTGCTGTGTCTGCATCCTCGCCGGGGGACAGAAGCATCAGAGCTTCGCCATGATTCTGCAGCTGGCAAGGAAAAACTAAGTCTTTGCCTGAATTCTGGTTGCAGCCTGAACTACCAGAGAGATTTGCAGCTTGACAAACTCTTTTCGTGACCATCTTTTGCCAATAGCTTAGCAGTAATAAGCATTAATTCAGGAAAGCCAAGAACAAGTTCTGGGCCTCTGTCAGAGAGAGCTTGGGCCTTCTCCTTCTATTTCCCAGAAGAAGCTGAAGGACACGGAGGGAGCCCTCAACTCCTCCTTCCCAACAAGGCAATGGGGGAAAGGCCAAGAGCTCTTTAGCCCGGTGGGTAACAGCTTCCATGAGAAAAGCACCCTGTAACGTCCCCGCAGACCTCCGATCACGGTAACACCGTGGTGTCTGCCCCATTATTAGGGCACATATACTTTTGCCATCTTCTCATCAACTCCTCAGTGTTGCTCTCAGACTATTCTCTCTCTGAGCAGAGAAAACCAGGGCTACCCACGATAACACACAGCAGGGCAGAGGCTTGTACAGGCAGCAGGATGCATCCTCTGCAACAGCTCAGTGAGGGTCTACACTGAACAGCAAAACAAAGGCCTCAATAACACTACTTGGAAGGAGGTGAGAAAGCCTTTTTCCTTCCTTCTAGTCAAGCTCAGGGCAAGTTTCCTGAAGAGCTAAGGAATACAGAGAAACGCAGCTTGCTTGGAAATGTTGGAAACCACTTTTAAAAGAACATGAAATGATTTGCAGCTCTCAGGTTACGCCTGTTGTTATCTTGGGAGAATGGATAATGGCTGAACATCCCTGTCCTATGCACTCATTTATTATCCCTTTTATTTATTGCATGTGTTCTCCACAGCACCACCTCTCCCTGCATTTAGGTTAGAAACCATTTCTCATTCTTAGAGAGATGTTATCAATCTATTATCTTAAACAGGTATTTCTTGAATATAAACTGAGCTCTAATAAGGAACTGTTGGCTGTATTGTGGGTGCAATAAGGGTTTTAAAATGAGACTACAAAGTAATCAGAAAAAGATCTAATAACTCCATCTTCGAATATCAGAGTATGAAATCTCATGCAGACATGTCCACCTAGAAGAACTGCACCAGACCATCTCTCAGGTTCACAGCAGAGCGTGCAGCACAGCTTTTAGGAAGGCAGACAGAAACACCAGAGCAATCTGCCCAGATAATCTTGGGAAGAAGGTAGGAGGGGGCAAAATTATCAAAACGGCCAAGTACAGAATCAAGTGCTGACAAAGTACAGAGACTATGTCCCATGCCAGCTGGATATGCCCACTCTCCAAAGTGCCCAAAGTAGCAGCATTTCTGTGGTTTGAGGGCACAAATGGGCCCTTTTTGGCGCCTACGCACCTGGCCGCTGCCTGCACCTGCGGCCAGACAAGGGCCCAGAGACTCAGTCACCCACTGCAGTGGCTCAAGCCCCACCACCTTTTAGGCACGGCTGAAACCAAAGACGCAACCAGAATTCCAGACCAGGGCTGCTGGATGACAAAACTCAACTTTTATCTGATTAAATGAAAATCAGAATCGCTGTACTCGACCCAAGAAGAGCACGATAAGAAAACACGAAACGGTGGTAGAGCAGTCCCATCGCCACCATGGGTTAGGAATCTAACAGCAAATTTCAAAGCCAGCCAAGATTTGGTATATCTCTCTGAAATAGCTGACTGCGTAAAATGAAAACTATCTAAAGAGCAAGAATAAGTACAATCTGAATGAGGGCTGCTGAAACAGAAACACTGGATAAGTCTTTATCTTCAGCCGAATGTCCTCTCGGGACTGTCCCAGAAGCGTATCTCACACTCCACGATTCCTCCACGGCCATGGAGGAGGCAACACATGCTGATAATTTCTCCAAAAGAGAGGCAGTTACAGATAGCGCTTCGATGTAAAGAAAGGTTAAACCTTACAAGGTTAAACTGCCTGATGAACTGAACTACGCTCAATTACTGTGTTTAAACAAACTCCATGAACAACCAATTTAAAAAGTGGCAGCAGATCAGTCTCAAAATTTTCCGTCCTGTACAAGCAGTACAAACACCACTTAAAAGGTACTACTGTACTCAATGTACAAACATCTTAGCAATCAATGCTAGCTTTTATTTTTTTTAAACAGGCTCTGTTACCATGCATTAGGTTTTAATATATCACTGAAGTGACTACAGAAAGATTTGCAGCTCTTCTGCTTTGAATTTGTCACAACTTTTTAGAATTGTTTAACTGCTTTTTTGTTTTTCATTCGATTTTGTCTCCCCCCAAACCCTGCCTTCTCGCATTTGCTGCCAGGCTGAATGGAGCAGGGATATGGCTGCAGCAGAAGTTGAGCCAAAGATACCAAGAAAAACAAAAGAGGAGAAATAGTGTCTCAGAGCTGGTGGCCGCTCAGCCTGGTGTCCTGTCCCAGGAGCTTGGAACAGGGCGTTTTTGCCACCAAGCAAGAGACAGGGGTGCCAGGCACGGGGGCCGTGCGTTGGAGGACGAGATTTTCCTTCATGCCAAAAACGCCTCCCAGACTGTTCAACTAAGCAACAGGCATCAGCATTTCCTTGTGAGCCTCCTATCAGATTGCACAGATGAAAAATCCTCTGCTCTACTTATAGCAACGAGCAGGGAAAGGTCATGATGACTGTAATACAAACTGAATGCAAAGAAGAAGTTTTAAGTTATTATTTGTATTGTTTTGCCTAGAGTTGACACAAACATTTACCTTATTATAATATATATTGCAGCACACATTAATCAAGATCCATTAAACGGATAGTGCAGGTTGTGAACACGTATATGAGATGCCAAAATGGGGAGGATGAGTAAGATGGCATTAAATTTCCACAGCTACGATTAATCGCAGTTAATCTATCAGTGCTCAGCCAAAAATAAACTAACAGCCAAAAAACCCCAACAACCCACACGACTCTGGGAAAGGGAATGCACTCCTCCAAAGGTTTTTGAAATACCCTGTCAGCTGAACTGCAAAGCCACTCCAGTGCCACCACTTCTCCCCCAAGAAGATGCTATAAAAATGAGTCACGCCCAGATGACATAGAAAATCCTTAATGCATCTGTTTGAGGGACTTGCTGGGTTATTGTCCTCTTTGGACGTTGAGTTCTCCCTCAAGCCATAGTTTGTTGGAACTATATATTCTGCTCAGGCTAATTGATGCAGTACGTTTGCAGTATTGTTTCCAAAATATTTCCACCAGCGTTTCAAATGTTTCAAAAATTAACAGTGGGGGTACTTAGCTATTGGAACAAGGGTTGTCATTGAAAATGCCTTCTATTGAGGTTCAATGTTCTTCTAGAAATACGCTTTAGTTCAAACAGGAAAGAATTCAGGAAAATTCTGCTGGCCTGAGTTATACAAAACATAATAATAACTGATAAATGGTAGCTTTTAAGATTTCAAAATCTGTTTTGTAATTCCCGTGGTGTTTGGGATATTTTACCTTTTTTACCCTATTTCATCTTTAGCTTATTATACCGGTACCAAAGTAATCTGAAGGGATAGCATCTCATAGCCAGAAGAATATCTGGTTTTGTTTATAACCATTTGTTCACCTATTTTTTATTAACAAATTTGCTATGTTTTATTTTTTGCAGAGCTATTTCTTCCTGAAGTCAGCAGAACTCAACTTAAGTTTCATAGCTATGCTGATGTTACTAGTCTGCATTTCCAAAAAGTTCTTGTCTATGGCTGCAGGACAAATAACTTTGAATATTAATTTTCCTACTCGATGGAAAGCACTGAAATGAGGGATATTTTGAGCACATTCCCAGTTTATATCATCTGCTTTGTATCCAAAGCTCAGCTTCCCCGGTTTGAATAGACAATAATGATGCTATCATGGAAAACACAAAACAGCAATACAAACAACAAGAAACACAAAGCATTTAAGTTCATCTCTACAGTAGAGATGATGATATTAAAAAAAGAAAAAAAAATAGAGCTCTTCTCAACGTGCCAGATTTTGTTTTTACCTTGGGTCCACGTTTGCTGTTGCTTCATCAATGATAAGGATCCGATTTTTTTTT